ATATATATATATATATATATATGTGTGTGTGTGTGTGTGTGTATAAATAAAAAGAAAGAACAGTAAGATATATAATCCGGTGTTCTTATTGATATTTTTATTTTATGTTTACAAAAACAGTGCTCAATGTAAATTTACAGAGCATAAATATTATAAATTAACTGATTTAAAATATATATATATATATATATATATATATATATATATATATATATATATATATATAGATAGATAGATAGATAGATAGAGAGAGAGAGAGGGAAAGAGAGAGAGTTGTATATTTCGGCAGCAATCCTTCCTTTTTATGCATGTTTCATTAAAAACGACAGACAAGGCACTACGGTTGAGCTTTTTATTTAATTTTTCTTGTGTTCTAACAAGAATTTTCTTTTCTGGACAAAGGGTGTGTAAGAATTGTCCAAATGTTTTATATTTCCGAGCGCTTTCGGCTATATCTTTAGCCATTATCAGGGATTCGATTTTTTAGCTTAATTGAGTGTGTGCGTTCTGTGTATGGCTTAGTGTGTGGTAGGGATATTTTTAATTTCCGAATACGGTTTTTTTATTATTAAAGCTTCCATTATTTTTAGTCTTTTTTTGCAGGTGGATGCAGTTAATATATTTGTGTTTTCTACTAGTATGTTCCTAATGGAGTCGGGTAAATTTGTGTGTGTTTAAATGGGTTCTAATGTAGCTGTGATCAGATAGGTGTAATGTAAGACGTCTGATAAGCATGTGGTTGTGTAACCGATGTAATTATTCATGAGTCTGGTTTGACCAGGAACACAGTTCCTTATAGATTTGAACTCATATATATATATATATATATATATATATATATATATATATATATATGCATACATATATATATATATGCATATATATATTCCGATAAAAAATGAGAACATTCGGGAATCTAAAACGATAGAGATGTATTTAATGTCAATATACGACGGTTTCTTCTGCAAAAGGGTACACAGGTTTGAACATATATATATACATGAATGGGAAAAACAGAAATTACAAAAATATTTGCTGTAAAGTTTCACTATAAAGGAATCTTTCGTAATATAAACTTGAAGGTGATTACTGCTAAGCCAGCCATCATCAGTATCAGATGAATTCCATAATGCCGTTATGATTAACAAACTCGGTTCCTTAATATCCTAGTGAATTTGATTCTTTACACTTATGACTTTGTACCAAACACCCTCAGGTATCAAAATGTCTCGCTATGGTAGAGTAGTTAACGAGCTAGACTGTGATGAGATCGATTTTCACTTCTCAAAACATATGACATTTTGCTAGATAAGATTTGATAAATATCAATACGCATGAATACCCAATATAACTGCAATATGTATTATAGATTGATGTATTAGGTGCGTTCACAAGTTCCAAACGACTCTTTCTTAAAAATTAGAAACTCAATACAGAGTAGAAAAACCGATTTTATATAAGCAAAATTCTGGAAACTTTTGCAAACACATTTAAAATTTTAAACACGCCGATAGAAATTTATCTTTATAGAAAATAAAGACATTTTGCCAATGTAGAACTCATCAGCAGCAATGTACTTATAGTCCCAGCAAACTTGTAATTCATACCTGAAGACTGTAGAAATTGTTGCAGAACTTCTACCTATTTGGAAGTAGCGCCAAGACTTTTGTCTTGGATAAATTATCTTATTCTGATATCCAAAATTGTATTTTTTTTAGATTTCCCTATGGTATTTTCCGCCGATATGATGTCCATATAACTCCATTGATACATAATATGGAAAAGACATCTGTGATATGTTTCTTTGTAATTAAACTCCATCTGCCATACACGATAGATCTGTGTTATAGAAATTTCAGATTAATGAACACTTCTTAATTTTTAATTTCATAAGTTTAATATAATAAGACGGTTATGAATATTTATGGCCGTATTGCTGTTTAACTTTTGTTATTTTGGAACTTCCTCATCTTTGTTGCCATATTTATCACAACGTTTCGGCCGTTGTACACTCCGGCCTTCTTCAGGTGGTTGGAATATCGAACTGAACCCCTTATTTCGCTCACTGGGGTAGATTGTTCTAGTTCCACGTACCATGTCTAATGGATGTCAATTATCATTTATCTCCTGTTAATTCCCCCTCTCCAAGTTCTCCACCGCCTTAACCAGTTATTGCACTCACACTCTTTGGGTCTTGTCACTGAATCTAACTAACGCCTTTATTCACTGTGCCATGTATCCTTGAGACAGATACTGAATATCCTTTATAGCAAATTAAGAATAGGAGATAAGAAAATTAAACATAAAATAAGCTCTGTTAGAGGTAGTTTCACCCTATGCAGAATATTGCTACCAAACAACAAAAAAAAAAAAAAAAATGAACCTAAAAACTCGAGTCCTATCAGAAATATCTAAACTGTAAGTTGTATACAACCGCTTCCAATAGTTAAAAATAGTTTTGAGTGAGTGAAGCCTCTTAGTATTGGTGACGATCATACTTCTTTGCAACTTGTCGTCTGGCGCTACAGAATCACAAAGAGATGTGCCAAATAACAGAAAGTAAATCCCTTGGGGAATTTCAACAATTTCAACAACTAAAATAGATAATTGAGGTAACTCGAACAGATACTGGTAACATAATCAATATGTTAATATTACATAAAACATCCATACTGAAAAGAGAGATAACTGCTACTGGACTTGTTATATTTCTATGTCTACATGATTTTGCCATCCCCAATACATTGGTCATTCATTATTAAGTCTCTCTTACTGACAACCATATATTCTGTCTTCTTACAGCTTGTGATTACCCTTTTTTCTTGCTTTACTTTGCTACCTTTTCTAGGAATTTTTCAAGAGCCGATCCCTGTTCAGTTTGTTCCTGATGACAGGTTAGAGTTTTGTTTGTTCATAATTCCTTTGTTGAAAATCTTTCAAACTCTGTGATAGTTTATTTGGAACAAAGAAATTTATGAATTACTTTGAATATACGCTCTTTAGCGCCAGGGGGCGTCGTCAGTGATATTCTGAATCGGGTCATTGAGCAGTTTCAGGTCTTCATACTCCCCTCATCAAGTCGACCCCATCAGAGCTGATCAGTCTCTGATCCCCCCCTATCTAAATTAACAGCCTGCAGACAGTGACATATTAGGCAAACTCTACCCCTCTGTCACAAATTTGATTGGAAGTTGACCAACAGCCAATCGCAATGGTGTGAGCTCTATTGAAGTTGTTAACGGCGGGGGGGGTACCTTTTCTTTTTTTTATGTGGATATTCGTCGGATACTCGGAAGGTAATTATGTGTTTCCGGCATTTTTTTTCTTTTTTACTTTTTTTCAAGTTTCATCTCCCCAGCTGATACAATATTTATATGTGGAATTATGTCCTTATTATTGTTGTTATTATAACAACGTTTCAGCCGTTTTGCCCTCTAGCATTCTTCAGGGAATTTCGAACTGAACCCTACAGGGTTATGATAGTTTTTGTTTCACTGACCATGTATAGGGATGCTTCGTTTAGAATTTATTTAGCATATTTCAGTTGTTGCCCGTCCCATTTCCCCCGAGTCGAAGTGGAGACTGCCTGGCCCAAGGATTGAAATCACAATTACAATGTCAATAAGTTCCCGAACCAACGATATAATCAACAAAGCTCTTGTACCATGAGACAATAATCTAGTCGATTAACGTATAGGAATTGGCAGTTCAAAACTTGAGTAAATAAACAATCCAATTCGAAATTTCCTGCGGAGTGCGGGGGGGGGACTCGGATCGAGTAGATTTGTAGTATTCTTTTCCAGCTTATTGCTTTCCTGTCAACTACAATGTTCAAAAATTTAAATGCAACATCGATCATTATCCTGTCTTTTTCAATCTTTGTGTTTTTATAGTCCTCTCTTCTAAGTAACGTTTTCTCGGGTTCTTTCATTTGCAGTAACCTCTTACTAACGTTTTAGCGGCTTTATCACCCTACTTGCAGGTGAATCGATTTAAAAGAAAAAAAAAGAAGCACCTGATGAAGTTCGGTAGCTACAACGGCCGAAACGTTGTGAAATCAACAAAGACAGGGACAACAGATTGCATGTAAATAATATAAATAATAACTCTTCATGCCAGAACATCTGACAGAAATTTGAGAGCATTTTTTGATTGAAACTAGACTTAGCTTCTTAAATAGTTCGAGCAATTGATAGTTCGAGAAATTATTTTTCGAGCAATTTACTGTCGGGCAACTGATTTCGAGCAATTTACTGTCGGGCAACTGATTTCGAGCAATTTACTGTCGGGCAACTGATTTCGAGCAACTGATTTCGAGCAATTTACCTAGATCCGTGTAATGGTTACTGACGCGGAAATTGTGATAGGCGATCCGAGTTCTAATTCTAGTCTAGCCTGCTACCGTTACATTCGTACGAATGTAGTTGCAAAAAACAAGGAATTCACCCACAAGGATTAGATAGCAGGTTATACTGGGTTCATACTGGGTTCGTTAGGCTTAGGTGGCTTAGAAGAAGGGAAGTTCTTAATTTCGATCCGCGCAGAAGGCAAAGGAAACCATTTCACTACTTTCCGAAGAAGGTATGAACTTTCTCAGAAAATAAAGAAAAACATTTTTGAGAACCATGTTCGCCTAAGTCCCAAAGAAATATGGTGCATCAAAAATAGATCTACGATTTCATTATCAGTAGAAATTTATGTTAAATTTATTTCATTAATTAGAGACTGCGAGGAATCTGAGGAAGGAGAAACGCAGCATTTTTTTAAAGAAATTGCGCAATTTTTCCTGGTTTGTGTTTTATTTTACAGAAAAATATGAACAGAAATCGGTCCTCTAGCGCGTTTTATTTTGAATTCTCCACTTGTAATAAAGAACAGCTTCAACAGTGTTCTAGGAAATATTTTAGAACGACTGAGCACCCGTAAATTAAATTAATTAACTTTTACAATACTGGGAAAGGTAATAGTTATTCATTACCCGTCCATAGCTCTTAAGGTAGATCTTTAGAAGAAACAGATTTTTTCCCATTTTTTCTTCCTCTCCGTTTTTTCGACTACATTCTCTTTCCCTTCTCCCTTTTTCAATTCTTCATCACCATCTTCTTCTTCTTCTTCTTCTTCTTCTTCTTCTTCTTTACTGTTTATTTTGGAAACTCTCAGTTGGGTATTTTTGGCCTGCAGTCTGAGAGGTGGGAAAGTAAGTAGAAAGCCTTCCAGTTTGCACACAGTAACCTGCTTGGCTCTGATCCGAAAATCGCTCCCACACCAATCCTGACCCTCAAAGAAAGATTTTGGATAGAAATGCTCCTCCCCGTAGCTATGTACACACAGATTCACGCTTTGATGTCTCCGAATACATATAGTTGGGGGGGGGGAATTCACGCTAAAATGATAAATCAGTTCAAAATGGTGGATTCCTTTTGCTTATTGTAGTCATATTGTATGAAGATTTCTGTTGTTTGTAGGAGCCAATGAGTGGGCATATAGAAGTAATGATTTTTTCACGATGTAAATTGAAGAAACTGTTTATATGTTAATTACAAAAAAAGGCATCACTCACAATATGGAATGATGTCTCTCGCATCATCATTCACACTTCTGTCACTTCTATCACATCTATCTATCTATCTATCTATCTATCTATCTATCTATTTTAGTCTGTTTATTTCTCTCGATTATCTCAATCTGTTCATTTCGTTCTATCGGTTTTAGACTGTTCATTTTTATCTATCTATCTATCTATCTATCTATCTATCTATCTATCTATCTATCTATGAAGCTAGTTTAACACTGCGTATATATATATATATATATATATATATATATATATATATATATACAAATGTGCAGCTAATTGTAGTATTTAAAGTACATGTGACTACCTGTAAAAGGTAATGCTCTCTACATACATATATACATACATATACATGTACATATACACGCACGCACACACACACAAACGCACACACACACAAACACACACACACATATATATATATATATATATATATATATATATATATATATATAAAAGACAAAGGGAAAAACTGATGCGCTTCGTCTTCTGAAGGACGTTATCAACGGAAATGTAAGGAATTTATTATATCTATTTATATACAAGAACAAAAATATTATTGGTTTTTGTATTTTTTTACACCCACGCACATACAAACACACATATGTCTTGAGTGGGTTGGCAAATTATATATATATATATATATATATATATATATATATATATATATATATATATATATATATATTGAACATTGAAATCAACACGCATTGGCGACAGGCTGTTTCATGCTAGACGCAATCGTCAGGCCAATTGCATCTAGCACGAAACAGCCTGTCGCCTCTGAGTATTGACTTCAATGTTCACTTTTTTATTTATATTTCATACGCTCTATCTCTGATATTGAGCACTTTATCCCATATATATATATAGCACACCCTAAATCTATATTTCCTATTAATATATATATATATATATATATGTATGTATGTATATATGTGTGTGTCTGTGTGTATAAAACGGTGTCTAAAAAGTTCTCGGCCCAATCCTCATCCCAAAATAGGACCATAAAATCAGACATTCTGTGTAAAACATAAAGACATATTATGAAACGGAAGTAGGTATATACCAGCATGCGCACAAGTAACTGCATTGAAACTGAACGGAACGCAGAGTCTGTTTAATATATTCAAACTTGCCTGCACCAATATAGTATTATAATTAGCATGGAAGACTGATGTGTGTGTAAGAATAAGTTTAAGAGAATGAATGTCATGTACGGATGCAGACAGACACATACAGAAATACAAACAGGATTAATAGTATGTAAGACGGACAGAAGCAAAAGCACAAAAAAAAGAAGAAGAAAAATAAATGAAAGAACCAGACGGCCACACCCACCGCTTAAACACAATCATCATCCCATTGCGAACACAGTTAAGTGGAGTACAAAGAGAAAGAAAGAAGAGAAAGTAATCACATGCTGATGCAGTTGCACTTACACACAATGCGGCCGTCTGAAGGAAAAGAATAATCCGTACTCACAAGTACACATACAGAGACACTTAAAAAATTGCTTCCTCCTACATGCCGACATCATCTTGTATGGTGTTTGCCGCAATGGAGATTCAAGGCAGCGAGCCAAGAGCAATAAATATTAGATGATGCCGACCGCCAACATTAAGTAACCTAGCCGTTTAATCTCTATCATGCCTGCACAGGTAATACTATTAGTGATTATAAAACGATGGCATTGACAGTAGTGACATCTATCTATCATTCTGTTCATATCTATCTATCTATCTATCTATCTATCTATCTATCTATCTATCTATCTATCTATATATATCAGTCTCTTCATATATATCTATCTATCTCAGTCTGTTCATATCTATTATTTTTTTCTTTTCTTCTTTCTTTCAGTCTGTCTCAGTTTGTTAATATCTATCTATCTATCTATCTATCTATCTATCTATCTATCTATCTCAACCTGTTAATATCTATCTATATTTATATTATATAATATATAATTTTGTTTAATTTTATATATCAACAAACAGTATTTAAAAAAATAGTATGACAAATTGGAAAAAAAAAGGTTTTTGTGACGCGTTTCATTCCGATGAAATCCTAACGGATGAAACGTGTCACAGTAACTTTTGTTCCAATTTGTCATACATGAATTTATTGAAACAAATATCTATAAACAAAAACAATTTTTTGTTTTTCTATCCTCTGCCAGCCGCAATGATGGAGAAAGCATTACCTCGCATCATCGCCAGTGTTGAACGCCTTTGCGTAGTTTATAAAACACAGGTGCACGCTCTTCTACATTTGTATTGCTCTTCCTGATAACACCCTTAGCATGAATATCGCATTCCTTGTTCCAGTGTCTTTAACGAACCCGCACTGTTCTTGTCCTATCTCTTGCCTTATTCTGCTACGCGGATGATAATTTTTTTTATATGTGGCTCATTAGGCTGAATGTTCGGTAGAGTTCACATTCGTTTGCGCTTGGTTTCTTAGGCACTGCTGTGAGAATAGATCTACTTAGATCTTCCGGTATATCCCCACTGTTGTAGATTTCATTCATTATTTCTGTAATCTTGTCTACTGCCAAAATCATCTAAGGCTATCAGCATTTCTGTTACAGTTCCGTCTGGCCCTGCCGCCTCGTTTCTGTTCAATTTGGCCAGTGCTGCTTTTACTTCGGTTTTTAGATTTTCAGGCCCGTCAGTATTTTTACATATTGCCAGTTGTTCTCTTTCGTCGTGGAAGAGTTCTCCAATATATTTCTTCCAGCGTTGAAGAATTTTTTTACTTCTCTAATATGAGCGTTCCATCTTTGGATTTTCTGCAGGACATTGATGAGCATGTCTTCTGACCTTTTAGTTCCCTTATTTATTTATGCAAATCTCCTTTGCCTGTGGTACCCAATATCTCTATTTGCCTGTGGTACCCAATATCTCTATTTGCCTGTGGTACCCAATATCTCTGTTTCTGCATGGTTTTAGTTTAGTCACGAGCAATAAAATTTAAAACCATTTTTGAACGCCCATAATGAATATAATTTTAAAATGTTATATTTAGGCAGAAAGTATTAATCGAAGCAAATTTGATTAAAATCACCTGAAAAGCCTATCTCCTTAATTTTTTATTGCATGCTACAATTTTGGAATAATATATTGCATATTGGGATCAAATTTGCAAATAAACTGTCCGAAGTTCATTTTTTTTTCGTTCAAGTACTCCCACTCATACGTAACTGATCTTACGATACAAGCTTGCTAACGATTGATTATACCACATCGAAGTGTCCATCGTGAGTCTTAAATCTCATCTTGTGATGTTTGTTAGGCTAATTTTCAACTGGACTATATTTTATTTTTTTAATGTCCGTAACCTTTCAGGGCATAGGTGATTATTATTTGTCAACTACGAATTACTTCGACTTCTTAGGAAAGATCGTGAATTAGTTTTCCGTTGCCTTCTCCAGAGATTTTCATTCGGACTAGTCCTTCTCGATTCGTTGCCACTGAAAGCTAGAGGCTTGTCTACCCTGGCATTTAACCCATAGCTGGTGGGGAGAAGAGATTGATTAACGCTTTTATTAAATGCATTTGTGAGAAAGGGAACTCAAAAGACAGAATAAAAAAATACTTAAAAGATGCTGGAATTTGAACTCGCCTCGCAGATTCCAATTTCGCGCCGGTAATGTATCGGTTACCAGCAGAACCAACTTCCTGAATTTGTAATCTTAGATTAAATAGGAGGAAGTCTCGTGGATCAACAAATGCGTTCTTTAACATAGAAACATTTTATCACAGAATAAAATTTGAAACGGCAATACTGAATAAAATCTTGAATTTAGTTTTATCACTGAAAAACTGTTTATAATGTAAAGAAAAAAAATATCTCGTTGAGTCCGAAGGATTGACCACCACCTGGCTCTATACTAATCAATCTGATGGTTGTTACAGCCAGTTAAAAATACCTTTAATGACAAAACAAGTTAAATAAATAAATACGTACTAAGAAAAACAAGTCATCGCAATAGTAATTTGTTCTTAATACAGGAGCAAAAGAAGTAAAAATCCTTATCTATATGGTACTGATTTTAAGGGATGAAGCCAAGTCGTAGAACGAAATACATTCCAAATTTTCATTCGCTCGTTTCAAAAATATCTGAAATCTTGTAATTCCAAAAGCTAAAGAAAGATGACGATAATACAGTGTGTTTCGATAGACTATGTCACATTCTAAGAACTCTTATATCAGGAACTACAAATGGTAGCCTGAAAGAACTGGTACCATTTAAAATCTAAATCTGTCTTCTGTTAATTTGATTTAATTTAATTAATTAAATTTAAGTTAGATAGTATCCGAACAACACTTTACCTGATATATGGGTCGGACATTCCGGACAGAATGACCTCGTGTTCTTGCGGTGGCTAACTCGGTACCTACCTAAGTCTCCAGACCTCACGCCATGTGCCTTCTTCCTCTGTGAATGACCTCGGGTACCTACCTCCCATTCGCAGAGACTTGGATGATTTGAAGACGCAAATAACCGAAGCCTTGGCAACCATCGACAACGCGATGCTTGGCCATGTTTGGCAAGAATTGGATTATTGTTTGGATGTATGTCGTGTAACCCGCGTCGCTCTAATTGAGCACCTGTAAAAACCTGTATAGAAACATGGAAATATTAGCTTTGAGCAAATATATATTGTTTTTTTTATATCCTAAATAGTTATGTTATAAAGTGTTGTAATGTGGCAGATACTTTTGAAACAGCCTGTATTTGTATTATTTACATTATTGTCCACGTCTTTCTTGTTTTAGTTTCGGCCGTTGTGTCTCCCAACTTTCTTCAGTTTCTTCGGCTAATCGACAGGAGATTTCTAACTGCACATTTTAACTACGAGGATGGATTGTTATTTTTAGTTCATTTTTAGGGTTATCTTCTATAGTTCTTCTTTAGTACTGCTTAGTTGTAGCTATACTCTATTTCTATAAATAAATTTGCACTATCCGGCTCATGCATTGAACTCACACAATTATTATGCCATCATAATTATTATGTCTTCACAATTACTATGCCATCATAATTATTATGTCGTAACAATCATTATGTCATCATAATTATTATGTCTTCACAATTATTATGTCATCATATTTATTATGTCTTCACAATTATTATGTCATCATAATTATTATGTCTTCGCAATTATTATGCCATCACAATTATTATGTCATCAA